ATAAAAGTACATGTGTCTTTCATTTTGAGTCATTTACCTATATAGAATTTTTGGGAAGAAAGGCAGCCTCTCCCTGCAGGTGCAACCACTTGTTATGAAATCTCTTCTTGGTTGCTTCCACCTCTGCTCATCCCTGAAGTCTTAACTTCCCCATATCTATGTTCTCTCCACAGTCTCCAGATAACTTTATGCAGCTACATGACTCCTATCTTTATTTATTCATTTACTTGTGTTTTAATCAGCATAAATTTAATATATCTCACCCCGACATTTTCCTGCATGAATACCATTGAGTTGTGCTCACTCACCAGCTGTTGTCCTCTGTTGCCCTCCCAGCCCTCAGCTGCCCTGCTTTTCTACCCAAAGAGCCCCACTTCCACGCTCATGTCTTAGTCGGACACACAAACATCTCTCCTCTTTCATGAACATATCCAATGACCATTCCATCACTCAGTTCAAGGTTAGCAAATCCATGTCAGTTCAACATCTGTGGCAACATCTGCCTCAAAGCCCCACTTGTCCTCTGTATCCCCTCCCACCACCTTTCTGTTATTCAAGCTAAGAAGTATGAGTATTCTCTAATCCCCATTCTCACTCTTGTCTTTGTGGAAGTAACAAATACTGAGAAATCTTCTCTGATAGCACTGGAAACTGCTGACTGGTCCCTCCTCTGGTCCTAGGATAAAGCTATACAACTGGACTATTACAACATCTTCCAAAGGTCCCTCTCTTCAGTTCTACTTTTGTACCAACCTCACCTGGATAGTAGATGCAAATTTTACTCCTCCTCATTGCACATCTAGTTTGTTTTTAACATTTATTTGCTTGCTTGTTTTTGAGGAAGTATCTTGCCAAATCGCCCAACTTGTCTAGCCTTGAACTCCAGCTTGGGATGCTCCTGCCTCAGACTCCCATGTGCTAGAATGACAAATGTTTGCCACAGTGCCTGGCTCTGGTCTCCCTTCTCTACCACCATAGTGCTTATCAACTCACATGGTTTCTGCCTACCTGTTTTCTTAGATGTTGAATGCTGTGAGCTTGGGATCCTGCTTGCCATTGAGTCCCCATGATGTGGCCCAGTGAGTGCTACATAGAGTGCAATCAACAAGGGCTACTTCAATGTTGTCAGCTTGGAAGCTCTCTAATATTAAACAATAAAACAAATGGAAATGAATGATCATAAACACAAACTAAAAAACTTAAAAATCTGAGCGTAGACATCTAGGATTACACTTATGACTGTATCAATGTTTTATTGGCTATGTTTGACAGAACAAATTTTCTCACTAAAATGTAATGTTGTGACACTTTTCATTACTGAATATACAATAAAAATGACAATGGCATCTTGAGTTTATGGCTACTAAGTAGTTAGAAGCATTTCTCATGACTTAGCTATGTGTGTGAGTCCCTTTGGGCACAAGGGTGTGTTTATTTTCTAGAGGGTGACAATGGTGTTTTTCAGCCCTCCTGTGATACTGGCAGAGCAGTGGCTGAGATGGTCCCTACTGCATGTCAGGAAGATGCAAAGATGGATGTATTGAGTGCCTGCACTCTTGGGTGCAAATGTGGGATGCAAGAGGTAGCTTGAATTACACATTTATACATCTTGTCTCTTAAGAATTCAAAATATTTAGGGGTGAAAATATGTTCAAATTATTCCAGTATTTCAGCTTATTTCTGGATTCTTTCACCGAGTTTTTCTGAGACACATTTTTTCCCACACCCGCTTGAACCATCTGTGTACCAGGCAAGTTGTGTGAGATGGAAAACCGAATGAAATCGATGAAAGGGCTATGACTTAACAATAGGGAAATGGCCTTCCTAATGATCTGTGCACCTGTGCATGAACAGCTAGGGGAGCCTGGATGCCACTATTATAGAAAGCCAGGTACTGAAGTTGAGTGCTTAGCACCAATGCTTTGGCACCATTCTGTAAGAAGCACACTGATGACAGTAAGGCAGATGGAACCCGCCTTCTAAGATGGGATTCATTATCTCCTGTAAGGCAGATGAAGCCTGCCCTCTAAGATGGGATTCCTTATCTCCACTTAAGCACTCTATTCCAAAGTATAACAATATTTGCTTTACATTAAAATACAACTTGGGTGCATTTTACCACATAATGTTTTTTTACTTGAAAGTTCTTTAAAATAAAGTTTTAATGTAAAATTTTAATTGTTTGATATTAACTAAAACTAACTTAAAATTGTAGAGTCACTCCCCCCCATTTTGTAAAACATAGAGTCTTGGGATACTTGATAGAGTTTAAGAGGCCCTTCTATATGTCCTGCTTTCACTCTGCTACAGATAACCTCCAAGGCCATTTCAGAAGTCTTTAAGTTTCAGCTCTCAGCCCACATGGTAGCATTTCACAGTTATCATGACTGAGATACGTTATCTAACGATGCAAGATAAAGTTCTTCAAATGTAGGTTTCTGGTTTGAGGTACAGAAACTGTCCAGGTCAGAATTACCTAGCCACTTTTCTCTTTAGATCTCGCTGGGAGCCCAAACCAAGAAGTGACACACTTAGTCCTTTTGTGTGTCTATGCTACAAACATGATCTAGCCACAATCTGGTCCTGCTCAAATAGCAACACGAAAAGTGACTTATTTATATGTTGAAATTTCAGAACCTTTGAAAGGCCTACCATGTGTGCTGTTAAAAGGTTTTTAATTTAAACTTATTGTGTTAGATAATCATACTTCAAGTGACAGTATGATTTATCACCACTAATCACGGTTCTGATCCCTCCTAGACTTCTTGTTTGTATCTGTTTTTGTTCTCTGTTACATAAATATGAGGTTCATATATAAAATTCTGACTGTGTAATATAGGGCTAATGAGTCACAGATGGAAAGATCCTGGCACATTACCATCTAATAACATTTTAAACTCATATTCCATAGTAAAAACAAAAGCAAATTGTACACATCTGTTTCCCAACTTGTGGCATTTCTGAGTTTGAGTAGAGTAGATGCTTATAGGACTTTTGCTTAGGGAGAAGAAAAAGAGGACACAAGTCACCTCAAACCTGCCAGCCACTTTATACCCTTATCAGAACAGACTTGGCACAAGGGGTAAGGTTTGTCTGCTTAGCCTCTTGAGAACTCACTGAGATAAACAACGAGAGCCAAAGGCTGAATCAATAGGACTGAAGTGCATCTTCATGCCCCACACATAATTTTATTGACTATTGATTATCTTTAAAAAAATATCCCCAACATCAGGAAAATTAAGAAAAAATTTCACTAATAAACTAATGAGTTAATAAATTTAATAACACCTATTAACTCTCTGGCCTTTGCATATATATGTATATGTAAATGTATATGTATATATAATGTTTTATAGTGTTAAAGGGAATAAAAGACTCCAATCTCAAATGCTTTTTTAAAAAGAAATGGAACAAAGGCAGGATTTCTTTTCAGATTTCCCCAGTTGATAACACTGTGAGGATAACTTTACGTCACTTGCTACAGTCTAGGTCCCTGCAGCACCTCCCCCATGCTCCTTGTCTGAGTCCTGAGCCACTACTCTGTTTTAAGTGGTTGTGTGAACTGTCACATTCTTTTGGAAAAGTTACGTGACAGAAGTGATTACTGGGGAGTATGACTGTAAATCACCCTGACATGAAATACACATGTTGTAAGAGACAGATTTCCATCACCTCACAAAAGCTCCTGAAAACAGAGCAGACCCAAGAACAGCCAAGTGAGCAAAGAGGGATTTTGATTTGTTGGGTGGTAACTCTTTTTGTACGTGGCCAACTATGTTTGTTCTGAAGAGTACTTCCATTCTGACAATAAAATTATGTTCACTGTTGTTGTTGTTGATAAAAGAATTAATACGTGTATTGAATGTATTAGATGTCCTAATTTGTAAACAGAATACCGGTGGGCAGAACATTTTCATAACAGTGTCTGCAGTTATCTCCAATTTATACTAACCTTTTAAAAGGATCTACAAGAATGCATACAGATCTCTTCACAATGAGTCTGCAGCCATGCCATTCCGTGCTTTTCGGGATGGCTGTTTAACCTGGGAGCCTCTTACGTCTAATATGTTGAAGTGTGCTGGGAACCTGAGCAGGAAGGGGAGGATTTATGCATGCACCTTGTTTTGTTTGTCTACCAGTGAAATGTCTGTGTGACGTTTTGTGTCGTGTTGTTTTGGTGTTGTGCCACATCCATAGGGCCTGCCAGGCTTCCCCACAGTTGCTGCCCTACACAGCAATCAGATCCTCACCGTCAAGGTTTGTGGATGACGCTCGTGCTTACTCAGTCAGACACACAATCAGCATAAGGGTGAGCAAGAACCATCTGTGGCCTTTCCCAGCTTCGGCTCCTATTGCCAGTGACTGTGTTGGCTACCTGGAACCTCAGGTGTGTCAGGGAGATAGATGTGGTCTAAGAGAGACCCTCCTGAGCATTCATGAGGAGGATATTGAAGTTATTCATGTACAGTGACACAGGCATGGCTTCCTAAGAGTCTGCCTCCTCTCCGTGTCTGGTGGCTGGATTCACACACATTGCAATGCTCTGTGATGATTTCCCAGCCAATTGAGTAATTCCAAGGACTCCAAGCTTGGGGTGTCGATACCTGGTTCCTGCCACATTATGCTGGTTGACAAATCTGACTGCACTGGAACTGGGGCTTTGTCTGCAGACTTTCTACTCAGGTTGCAGAATACGAGATCATCTGCTTCACTTGCTTCTGGAAGTAGATGCATAAAAGGCACCACCCTCCAAACATCCAAATGATGGGGTACAAAAGGGACTCGTTTCTAACAAAAAGTCAGGACTCATTCCATTTCAAGGCTGCCTGTCTTCCGGAGAGGCTGGGGGTCTGTCAGACATGAGCTCCAGTTCCGTTTTCTGTCATGGTCATGATGAGTCTAATGCGTATATCTTTATTTCTCCCTCGGGGCCTTCTGATGCTTATTCTTCAACTCTCTCATCTCTGAACTTCAACCTTTGACCTCACCTGACTGATCAGATGGTGTTTCCTAAAATCAATCATGGCTTTCTCTCTGCTGATCAGCAGCTCATTAAACGCCGGCTGATTAAGGTAGTGCTGCTTCCTGCTGAAGTCCGAGTTCTCCTTCGCATTCAAGTAT